CTCAGAGGACGCAATGTTGCATTGTACCATTTCCCTTTTTTCCTAAAACATGGTCATACCCATCCCATGTTAGTCATATGCAAGCCACGCATGCTCCTGTTGGTTTATCATCACGCTTTGTCAGCACATCTGCCAATCAGCCTGCTATTGGAAGGTTTTTAAAAAATGTTGGTAAGAAACAATTGTTGTTGCTAAGTGCTGCTGAGTCAGTTCTAACACATAGTGACCCTGTACAGGGTTTCCAAGGAGTGGGTTTGAACTGCCAACCTTGTGGTTCCCAGACCAGTGCTTATTCTACAGTGCCACACCAGGAGTTCACTGTATGTAATATGTAATCAGTTGGACAAACGTATAAAGGTACAAAACTAATGCATGAATTGAATGTCAGTTATATGATTGCAAACACTAAGGAATAAAGCAAAAGAGCTCCAGTGAAGGCAGCATTTACCTAAGGAAAAAGTTCAGAAGGGTTGGGAAGGAAAGAGGAATGGAAACAAAAATCACAGGAAGGATTACATGGAGGGACTGTAATCACTGAAATGAAACAAAGTATATCATTTGCTGAATGTAAAACTGATGATATAGTCTGTAACCTTCACTCAGTTCACAATACAAAGTTGAAAAGTTGAAAAGTTAATTAAATCACAAAATTATACCTGTATTATTGTTGTTGTTAAGTGCCCTTGAGTTGGTTCTGACCCATAGCAACCCTGCATAAGGTTTCCAAGGAGCAGCTGGTGAACCTCAACTGCTGATCTTGCAGTTCAAACCGACTTTGCAGTCCAGTGCATTAGCCCACAGTGCCACACCAGGACACACTACACACCTGTTGTTGTTGTTGGTAAGTACCATGGAGTCAGTTCTGACTCATAGTGACCCTGTACAGGGTTTCCAAGGCTGTAAGTAAATCTTTATGTGAGCAAAAAGCCTCATCTTGCTCCCGTGGAACAGCTGGTACTTATGAACTGCTGACTGTGAGATTAGCAGCCCAATTCATATCCGCTACGCTACCATTCTCTATATCCATCCCTAAAATAAAAATACAGTTATCTATATAGCTCTAATATCATGTGTCCTCCAACCCAGATAGTAAGTTTCTTGAAAGTAAGGATCATGCCTTACTTTAGTAAGTATTGCTCTGGATAGAATTGTGTTCCCCAAAAACACATGTAGTAAATCCTAGCCCCCATACACATGCATGCAGTCCTATCTGAGAACACAGTTTTCTTTCTTGTGTTAATGAGATCATGTCAGTGTGAAGCCAATGACTTTTTGAAATATAAAAGAGTAGACAAGGAACATGAAGAAGAACCACAACGGATTGATGCCACTTAAGAGATGACTGAGGAGCTGAAGAAGAGAGGCTGAACGTTAGACTTTCCATCAGAGCCCACACAGGGAGACAGCCTCCCCTTAGAGCTGCCACCTTAAATCTGGACTTCTGGCTTCCTCTAAGTTATGAGAAAATAAACCTCTGGTCTCAAAGTCAGCCACTTGTGGTATTACTATTATAGCAGTACGAGGAAACTAAACCAAATGTTACACAGAATGTCTTCTACAATATTTTGTCCAGAGTAAATGGAGTCCCTGATTGGTACCCTGCTTAGCTGCTAACCAAAAGTCTGGTGGTTTGAGTCCATGCAGAGGCCCTCGGAAGAAAGGCCTGGAAATCTATTTCCAAACATCAAGCACTGAAAACCCTATGGAGCAGAGTTCTACTCTGACACACATGGGGTCACCATGACTTGTATGTAGTCTACTTAAAGGCAACTGGAAAATGTGCATCAAATATACTGTTAAATTCCACTCATTCAACACACACACCAAGTAGGCATGTGGCAGGATTTAATTGTCTTACACACGTTAGAGGTGAAAATTTAAAAATAAGCCTGCCTAGTCTTGAAAAGACAATGAATAGTAACACTAGACTACTCTGACCAAGGAATTGATTGACTATCATATCAACCAATGAAATCAAATCTTGCTCTGCAAACTGTCAGTTGTAAAACCATAAGGTAAAATCCTATTGGATTAAGCACATATCTCCAGTTTTATGATTTTGAGGCCTTTGACTATTTCTATGCATGGAAGATGAGTCATTAATCCAATTAATGCAACCAAGTCAATCATTCCTTTTAACAGACCCACTTTATCAAACATTCTTGGTCACTGTCACTTTCTCTGCTGCTTTTTTCCTTTCTTGTTCTAATGTTAATGGAGAGCTATTGTGGTACTGTGCGTTAATGCACCAGACTGCAAAGCCATTTGAACTGCAAGGTTGGAGGTTCAAGCTCACCAGCTGCTCCTCAGAAACCCTATACAGGATCGCTATGGGTTGGAACTGACTCAACAGCACTTAACAACAACAACATTTGCCAACCACTAGGTTAAGGGCTTAAGGAACCCTGGTGTAGCATTGCGGAAAGCATTGGGCTGCTAACTTTACAGTCTGCAGTTCAAACTTACCAGCCTCTCTGAGAAAGACAAGGCGCCTCTATCTGCTGTAAAGATCTAGTCTCAGAAACCCTAAGTAACAGTTCTACTCTGTCCTATGGGATCCGATGAGTTAGAATCAGCGGGTGAGTGGTGGCATTAAACCCTTACATGTATGTATTTCATTTATTCCTTGTTGCTGTTAAGTGCCATCAAGTCAGTTCCAACTCATAGTGACCCTGTACAGGGATTCCAAGGAGCAGCTGGTGGGTTTGAACCGCAGAACCAGCCTATTAATGAGTAGACACCATTGCTGTGGTGCTTCAGGATAATACTCTGGATGCAAGGTTGATTTGAACCGCAAGGTTGGCTCTTCCTCGGAAACCCTAGACAGGGTCACCATGAGTAGGAACTGACTTAATGGCATTTAAAAACAACTTTTGCTATTGTTATTTTAATGATCTGCCAACTGAGGCTTAGAGAGGTAAGTCCCCTGCCCAAAGTCTACAACTTCTAAGTGAAGCTAGCAGGAAACCCAGCTGAATGAGAACTCACTGAGCTCTTAATGATCGGGCCAAATATTCTCCCAGGACTTGAACTTCTGAAGGGATTGGATTCTACTGCACAGGGAATCCATAACTTTGAGAGATGTTTTATGTGGATGAATCTTGCAAAGAGCCATTTTCCCAAAGCAAATTCACCAGTGATGACTTTATAACAATTACAATCAATTGTACCAGTCTGTTCTTAATATCTTGAGGGTCATGGACACCTCTGGGGATCCTGAGTATAGAGTCCCAACTGAAGCAGAAAGCCTTCTTTCCTTCCCTGTGGCCTGTGGTCTGGCATGTGCTCAGGCTGATCAAGTGGGAGCTGGTACAACTCACCTTCAGGAAGGACTTGGAAAAATCACTGGGAAGGAGAAATACTGAATCAAAGAGGTTCACCTGCCATATATGACCTTCCTCTCCAAGCAAAGATTTAAGCAATCTTTCACCTCTGTCATTTCATCTTGGATTCAAGTTCTCAAACTTGTTCATGGACATCTGAGCACTCATCACAATGTCTTATGAGCAGTTTGGTATATAAGGAAAACATTCCCTATTCACATGCATATGCTTAATAACATGAAAGTTCTGACCCAGGGCCAAAACCACTTAATCAACTTGGCACCTCTTTTACTCTCTACCATTAGTATGGATGATGCACTCAGAGGGATGAAATCTCTCCGAAAAACAAGATGGCAAAGGGCCAAGCTTCAATAAGAGAAACTCAACAATTGCCAAAAATCAATGCATCATATTGTGAATGTCCTTCTCCCCAGAGGCTCCTGTGTGTATATAGCTGAGAGTACTTTAAAGGCTCTAAGAAGAGACAACTGAACTTGACTTGTCGCTTCCCCAAAGAAGCTCACCCAGAAGACCATGGGAATTCCTCTTTCTTTGCAATGGTAGAAAAATAAGAAAAATGCAAGACATCCTCTCATCCCCAGAATATCACTGTAAGACAAAGAATCACGATCTAATGGAGTTTCACATTATAGTGCTTTTATATTTTTCTGAAACATTTTCACCGTTTCAAACACACATGACTTCATTCAATCCGTACAGCAACTTCCTGGTTGACAACTGAGAACACAGAACCATAAGAACTCATTCAAGGTCATACAGCTAGGTAGTGAGACAGCTGGGACAACAGCCTAGATTGCACGATTGGTCCAGTATCTGCCATGAAGTCATTAAGAGACAATCTCAACCTGCTGCCAGTCTCTGATTTCTTCTTCTTCTCTTCATCTTTCTCATTTAACACCAGCATCTAGTTGTAGATACAGATTTCAATTGGAAAAACAACACAGCTCCTTCTTTGATAGGCATACAGAGATTAAAAAGAAAACAAATGTGACACTCTTTATTAGTTCTTTATGGACGTCTTTCCCAGATGAAAAGGCCCTGTTGGGGACCAGTTCACTGACCTGTTATTTCTAATGTACACATAATACTTCTTAGTAACTGCAGGGCCTTCACACCAGGAAATTATTTGCCAAATAGTTCCCACTGCCTCACAGCATGGCCTGTCCATTTCTCCCAGACAGAAAACATCTGGGCTGATCCAACAACAAAAAAAAAACAAAACAAAAACCAGCAAATTCAAAGAGATGTTTTCCAGATAGAGAAGAGGACAGCTGTCTTCAGGAGTCTGTCACGGGGTTCAATCTGAGGCACTCATATTTCCCAAGACCCTTTCCAACAGTATCTCTCCATAGCTTTTGTATGACTGAAAAAAGTTTCCAAGAGGTTGACCAAACAGCAGAAGAAAACACTGAGATGGTGGCGAGGAAGGAGCAGCACGAGGGGACACTGTGCAGATGGTCCATGCGACGTGGTCAGGTCATGGTGTCCAAGCCTCACTTGTAGAGAGTGAGGTGGAACCCACTGTCAGGTGCCCCAGTCATGTGAATGACTTCATAGGAAGTACACCATCTTCAGCAAGGTGGTCAATCTTCTTTTGTCCAGTGTGGAAGACAAACACTCCATGGTTTTAAGAAAATCCACCTATAGGAATCTTGCTTATACCACTTCTGTCTTCTGAAGAATCAAATCTGGCCCCGATTGTTTATTTTGGGAGGTGACTGGGAGGAAAGCTCGCTCCATAAGAGGTTTAGAAACATCTGGGAAAATACTCTGCAGTCTTGCAAACTTCTGAAAAAGGAAACAAAATAAGAGAGACCAGTTGAGAAGTGAGGGATTGGAAAAAAAGTATCTGTTGTTCCCTCCAGTTGAACTCCATGCACTAAGAAAGAGTTGGCTGAACAACTAGCTCTGGAGGTTCTCCATATACTCAGCACCTCACTCACTTGGACCGGCACCACAGCCAGGAGACTCACCACATTACAGAGTGGTGCATGTCAAGTCCTTCTGTGAGAGAAGTCTGCGATCCAGTACCACATAGGCAGGCATTTGTAAACAAGTAACAAAGGACACTCATTTCACTGACTGGTAGTAACAATTACCTTCTGTGCAAATAACTCTAAGAGCCAAACTGCAAGCTTCCAAAGGGAAAAAAATCATCTCGTCTTTAAAAACTATACTGTTGTTGTTGTTAAGTGCCATCGAGTTGGTTCCGACTCATAGCGACCCTGAACAGGGTTTCCGAGGCTGTAAATCTTTACGGGAGCAGAAAGCCTCATCTTTCTCCCGTGGAACAGCTGGTAGTTTCGAACTGCTACTGAGGTGAAATTCACATAATATGTACCGATTTTAAGTGTACATCCAATGTCATTAATGACTTTCACCCTGTTGTACAACCATTTCTAAATTTTTTCAACATCCCAAACAGAATCCCAGTGCCTCTAATGCAGTAACTCCCCTACTACCTGCTTTCCCAGGCTCTTGTTGTTGTTAAGTGCCATCGAGTCGATTCCGACACATAGTGACCCTGTAGCTGTTGACCTTGAACTGCCAACCTTGCAGTTCAAAGGGCTTTACAGTCTGGTGCATTTTAACCCACAGGGCCACACCAGTACTCCTTCCAAGGCTCTAGAGACCACTAATAACCTGTTGTCTCTATGCATTTGCCGCCTATTCTAGGTATTTCCAAGAAGTAGATTTAAGCAATATTGTTCCTTTTGTGACTGACTTCCTTCACTCAGCATGTTTTCAAAGCTAATCAATATCATACCATGCATTAGAACTTCATTTCTCTTTATGACAGAGCTAGTATTTTGTCTTTATGGCTACGTATTATTCCATACTATATACGCTCTACAACACATTTTGTTTATCCATTCGTTGGTGGACACTTGGGTTGTTTTCCACATTGGGGATTAATTGTTAAGGAGTGTGTGTTGTTGTTAGGTGTCATCATATCAATTCCACCTCACAGTGACCCTGTGGACAAGAAAATGAAACACTGCCCAGTCCTGGGCCATCCTCCCAATTGTTATGCTTGAGCAAACTCCTGCTGCCACTGTGTCTTGTTCATCTCACAGGGGGTCTTCCTCTTTTTTGTTGACCCTCCACTTTATCAAGCAGGATGTCCTTCTCCAGGGACTGGTCCCTCCTGACAACATGTCCAAGGCACAAGAGGCAAAGTCTAACCATCCTTGCTACAAAAGATTGGCTGTATCTCTTCCCAAACAGATATATTTGTTCTTCTGGCAGTCCATGGTACTTTCGGTTCTCCTTGCCAACACCATAAGTCAAATGCATCAGTTCTTCTATGGTCTTCCTTGCTGCAGTCTTTGATCTTCATTCAGTAAGTATTTCAAGTTCTCTGCACTTTCAGCAAGCAAGATTGTGTCATCTGCATCTCACAGGTGGTTAATGAGTCTTCCTCCAATCTTAATGCCATGTTCTTCTTCATATAGTCTAGCATCTTGGATTATTTGCTCAGTATTGTGGTGGCTGTTGCTGAGGTGGTTCTGACTCACAGCAATCTTGTAAAGGGTTTCCAAGGATCGGTTGTTGAGTCTGAACCACCGACCTTGTGGTTCAACTGAACTTGCAGTCCAGTGCTTTATGGTGAAAGGATATTACCCTGATGCACACCTTTCCTGATTTTAAACCATTCAGTATCCCCTTGTCCTGTCCTAATGAAAGCTTCTTCATCTATGTACAGGTTCCTGATGAGCACCATTAAGTATTCTGGAATATCCATTCCTCACAGAATTACCCACAGTTTGCAAATGATCCACATAGCTGAATGCTTTTGCATAGTCAATAAAGCACAAGTCAACATCCTTCTGTTGTTCTCTGCTTTCAGCCAAGATTCATCTGACATCAGCAATGATATCCCTACTTTCATATTCTCTTCGGAATCCAGCTTGAATTTCTGGCAGCTCCCTGTTGATGTACTGCTGCAACCATTTTTGAATTATCTTTAGCAAATTTTACTTTCATATGATATTGATATTGTTCCATGATTCCCACATTCTGTTAGATTATCTTTCTTTGGAATGGGCACAAAATATGGAACTTTTGCAATCAGTTGGCCAGGTAATTGTCTTTCATATTTCTTGGCATAGACAAGTGAACACTTCCATCATGCTGCATCAGTTTGTTGAAAGGTTTCAGTTTGTCCTCTGTCAATTTCTGGATCCTTGTTGTTGTTGTTGTTGTTGTTGTTGTTGTTGTTTTAAACAATGTCTTCAGTGCAGGCTGGACTTCTTTCCTTATTACCATTGGTCCTTAGTCATTTGCTGCCTCGTGAAATGGCTGAGCATAGACTAAATCTTTTTGGTACATTTCCTACATCATTCAATATTTTGTCCAAAGAATCCTTCAATATTGCAACCCAAAGCTTGAATTCATTTTCATGTCTTCCAGCTTGAGACATGCTGTACATATTCTTCCCTTTTGGCTTTCTAACTCCAGGGCTTTACACATTTAATTCTAATACTTTGCCTTCTCAAGCTCCCCTTTGAAATTTTCTGCTGTTTTACTTCCTCATTTATTCCACTTGCTTTAGCTTTTCTACACTCAAGAGCAACTTTCAGAATATCTTCTGACGTTTATTTTGCTCTTTCATTTCTGTCTTTTAAATTTTCTTTTATTTCTTCATATGTATGATGTTCTTGATGTCATCCCATAACGCTGGTTCTTGGTTATTAGTGTCTAATGCATCAAATCTGTTCTTGAAATGGTCTCTAAATTCAGGTGGGATATACTCAAGGTCGTATTTTGGCTCTCATGGACTTGTTTTCATTTTCTTCAGCTTCAGTTTGAACTTGCATAGAAGCAACTGGTGGTACGTTCCACAGCAAGTGCCTGGCCTTGTTCTGGCTGATAATGTGTACCTTTTCCATCATCTCTTCCCACAGATGTAATAGATTTGATTTCTGTGTATTCCATCTGGTGAAGTCCATGCAGAGAGTTAGTTGTCTTTTATGTTGTTTAAAAAGGTATTTGTAATGAATATCTCTTTGATCTTACAAAATTCTATCAGGTGGTCTCCAGTATCACAAAACTATTGACCCTTCCTCTTTGTTTCCAACCTTTGCATTCCAATCACCAGTAATTATCTATGCATCTTGACTGCATGTTTGGTCAATTTCAGACTGATAAAGTTGGTAGAATTCTTCAATTTCTTCATCACTGGCTTTAGTGGCTGATGAGCAAATTGGAATAATAGTGGCATTAACTGGTCTTTCTTGTAGACGTATGGATACTGGACTTCAAGACAGAATATGAAATGCTCTTTTTGAGGATGAAGGCAATGCCATTCCTCTTCAATTTGCCATTCTTGGCATAGTTAAACCATTCCTTGCCAGATTAAAAAGGGCCAATACCAGTCCATTTGGGCTCAGGCTATTGATCTTTTTGTGTTGTGTTCCATTTCATGTCATTTCAGAAGTATGGGGAAGAACCAGTAATGGATGAGGAGAGCCATCAGGAGAAAACAGCTGCAGGGCAGGTGAAAGCAAAGGCTAGACCACTGTGTGTCCTGGCTTGCTCCTTTAGCAAGTGAGCCTTCAGGAGGAACAGTGTGTCTGCCCTGGAGGGTGGACTTCAGCCACTGTAATTACAAGGCCCCCTGGTACTTTCTAAGGCTCCTCATGCATGTCTCAGGCGTCCACATGGTGCCATGGTTAAGCACTTTTTTTGATAGTTGTTGCTAAGTGCTGACTTATAGTGACCCTGTATAGTGTTTCAGGGAGTTCTGGCGTAGCGCTGTGGGTTGATGCACCAAACTGCAAAGTTATTTGAACTGCAAAGTCAGCTGTTCAAGCTCACCAGCTACTCCTCGGAAACCCTATACAGGGTCACTATGGGTTGGAACTAAACAATGACATAGTGTTTCATAAGAGTGGCTGGTGGGTTTGAACTGCTGGCCTTGTGGTTAGCAGCCAAGTGCTTACCCTAAAGCACCATACTAGGATTTTATTAGTGGCTGCTAAGCACTAGACTGCTAGCCACAAGGTTATTGGTTGAAACCCACCAACCACTCCTCAGGGTTGCTATGAGTGGGAACCAAATTGATAGCACTTAATGAAGGCAACATTATTCGGAGTCCTGGATAAGCACTGAATCACAGGCACTTTGAACCACCAGCCGCTCCTCAGAAACCCTATACTGTGTCACTATGAGTCAGAACAGACTCGATGGCACAAAACAACAACAAACTCAAAGGTCAGCAGCTCAAACCCACCAGACACTCCATGGGTGAAAGATGGGGCATTCTGCTTCTGTAAAGATTTACAGCCTCAGAAAACTCTATGGGGCATGCTCCTTTGTCCTACAGGGTTGCTATGAGTCGAAGTAGACTTTACAACAGCTAAAGTCGTATCCTCAAACTTCCCTCCCTTGTACGAGGAGGCTTCACAATGTCTGCAGAAAAATGAAATCGAATGCTAATGGAGTTTTTCCACGCCATTTTAAAGTCCTCTCGTATTACCTCACTTTCTCCTCACTACACTCTATGTGTAGTCACAAGAGGAAAATCACACTGGAAAGTTTTCCAGGGAGCTGCAATATATAAAGACAGCTGCAATATTATAATGGTTCTTCCAGTTCAGGGGGCTTCCCTAAGTCCAGGATTCAGAAGGTAGTAGCGCTCACTGTGATTAAATTATTTCACTACCTACAAAACATATTCAGGTGAGTGTTTCAGGTAATCTTTTAACAATAATAGATGTTTAAGGAAAAAGATACTTACACACGTGAAAATGATGAGTGTTAAGTAGAAAACGACCAGAGCCAACAGTAGTACAATCTCTGCTCTGTAGTTCTTAAAAGTTTCTTCGTGTTCCTTGGGGCATCCTAGGATTAAAAAAAAAAAAGGTACTATATGAAAGCTTTTAGCAGGGCTTTTCTATGTAAGGCTGGCTGCTGTTCACACCCACATGTCCATGACACCAAGGAGAATCACAGAAACTGCAAGAGAGGGAGCCAGTGCCCACTCTTAGCCTGGCACAAGCAGGGGATATCACTACAGCATTTCACTTGGGGCAGGTGTGAGTATCATCATTTACAGATGAGGGACCTAAGGCTCAGCGAGGCTAAGGGACTAAGCCAGGTAGCAGGGCCAGGTGGCAGGTGCAGACTTATCCAGCTGTCTGCCTGCCTCCACTTCAGAAGCCGGGCATTTCCTGGTTTTTATTTAGTCTCCACATCAGTTGAACCACCATTAATTAATTAGTAATTATCCTAATTTCGTCAGTGTTATGTAGAATTCTATCTATCCTCAGGAGGACTCTGGGGTTCTGAAATGGGGTGGGTGGGATGCCCTGGTATTAATGAATAAGTAGACATTTTTGCAACATCATAAAGCTCGCCCATGACAGCAGGAAGCCTAGTACAGCTCCCTGGGGGGCTGCAAGGCTGAAGCTGCAGCACTCAAGGGGGACAGGGGCAGGAGTGAGGTGCTGAGCTCAGGAGGAGACGTGCAGGAGACAGGCTCTGCCCACTCAGGCGCCAACATCCACCATGCCGTGTGGGGTAGGAAGTGTGTTCAGTTTTAGATCTAGTCTGGCTGCTAACCAAATCTGCTTCAAGGCCCATGCATGAGCAGGTGAGATGCAGATGATTAGAGAGGCCTTGAGGGAACTGTCAACCTTGACATTGAATTCTAAATTGTGGGCAATAATCTAGGAATGGATTCTCAAGAGGCTCTGCGACTCCAACACAGAAAGGATGCAAACCACTGACATTCATGGAGTGTCCTGGGACTATACCAAGCATCTTCGTGCAGTATCTCATTTAAACTGCACAACAAGCATATGTCATAGGCACTACTCCCATTTCACAGATGGGAAAACTGAAGCTCAGAGTCCATAAATGATTTGCCCAAGGCCACATGCTACTGAGCAACAGAGCTAGTCTTGGATCTGAATGTAAGTGCCTCTAGAACCTAACCACTGAAGTTGTCAGCGCTCTTGCCTTCCCACAAGGACAGAAAACAATCACTTCCTTTCCACTCCCTGCAGGACATATCACTTCTTTCTCATTTCCTCCACAGTCTTACTCTCATTTTTTATTCTTGTAAACAATGTTCATTGAGTGTCTATTGCGTTCCAGGAAATAGCAGAGAACAAAACAGATAAGGTTCTGGCTCTCGTAGGGGAGAAATGGTAAACAAATCCATATGTGATATTTCAGGTGTACTAATAGCTAATGAAAACAAAGCAGAGTAAAGGGCTGGAGATTGAATGAAGTACAATGTTCATATATTTATGCATATAAATAACAGCCTGTGTTATTAACATAACATATAGATTACAACCAAAGGCTGCCTCCTAAAACAGAGAAACACTAATTGCATTCTTCGAATAATATAAGACTATTATCTTGGGTCAGCTTCCTTATAGACAACCAAGAGAAGGACAAAGTGTGACGGTTAGAAAATCAAGGATTCCATGAAGGCACAGTTGTCATTTCAGGCTCCAGCTGCTGACAAGTGTGCGGCAGAAACACGCAGGCATATTTAATGCTACATAAAGAAAGTTACAGCCTCCTTGCAGTAGAGTTCCACGTCAACCACAGATGTAATCCCAAGTATCCGTGTTAGATTTGGAAGATGAGGATTCATTCTAGGGCCTACAGAAAGCACACTTACATTTTACATGAAGAAAACAAGTGCAGCAATAGGTCACTCACCTATGACTCTCAGGATCACGGTGCCACTCTGGTTTCTCTGCCTTTCCGGGTCCCACAGAGTACACCGGTACATTCCCATGTTACAGCTGGTAGTGTTTCGGATCTTCAGGGAATACAGCTTTACACTGGGGGCTGGGAGGGAGCTGTTTTGCTCCTTCCAGTAGTAGTCCTGTTTACTGGAGCTCAGATCTTCCTGAGGCATCTCTATCACCTCTTCACCCCGCTCTGTAAGCTGTTAAGAAATCATCACATTGCATCACGTTCTGCTGTCAGAAACTGCAAGGGCTGGACCTCGATACCAAGGTTTTCAACCTAGCTTTTAAAAAATAATGATCATCACAAGACAAAGTGATTTCTGGTGTGTGACTCTCGAGACACAGGGAGAGACTCTATGATGATACTTTAAGGATCTATCTTCTTTGGAATATAATCAACACTGCATCGGATGATTCCGTGTATCTCAACCTCTATCCTACACAAAGGAGCTAGTGTTGTGGTTGAAGATGATGAGATGCTGAATAGGAATCACTTTGAATTATATTTTACTGTTGGTTGTTTTCTATGAAATGTTCTCTTGGGTTCTTCACATATAACTCATGCATTCATTGACTGAATTCTTTTTTGGGGATCCCAGTCATGTTTTTGGAAATGTTCCTAAATCTGTTAAGATCATGGCCAGATAACTCATCTAAAAAAGCAGAGAGAGATGCAGATGAAGTGTGTCTCCTATAAATAGTCACTGAGCCCTTCAAAGGAGACCATGGGTCATTCACTTGATAACTGAAAGGTTGAAAGTTTGAGCCCACCCTGAAATGCCTAGCAAGAAAAGCCTGGCTATTTACTCCCAATAAAACTAGCCAAAGAATACCCCATGAAGCCCACTTCTACTCTGACACACAACACATGACGTCTCCATGAGGCAGAACCAAGTTGATGGCAACCTGTTGCTATTTGTTCTTTAAAACTTGATTTTTGTGTGCTTATCCATGACTTCAAGGAGCTCTGGTAGTGTAGTGGTTACGAATCAGGCTGCGAACCACAAGGTCAGCAGTTCGAAACTACCAGCCGTTTCGCGGAAGATGAGGCTTTCTGCTCCTGTAAAGATTTACAGCCTTGGAAACCCTGTACAGGGTCATTATGAGTCGGAACTGACTCCAAAGCACACAACAACAACATCCATGACTTCACACAACACACCAGACGCAGAAAGACCGCTGAGAAGAATGTCAGTCAAGATTGTATGTGCCATATCTTGTGATGTTGTTAAGTGGTGTTGAGTCATATCAAAATACACGTGGAAGTAAAAACCTGCACATGAATGTTCATAGCAGATTGGTTCAAAATTTCCAAAAATATACAGCAACCAAGATGCCCTCAACAGGTGAAAGGAAAAACAAACTCTGGCACACCCACACAGTGGAGGATTATGCAGAGGTCAGAAGAAATGAGCTATCAGGCTACCAAAGACAAGGAGGAACTGTAAATGCATATTGCTAACTGGAAGAAACCAATCTGAAAAAGCTATAGACTGTGTGAATCCAATTATATAATATCCTGCAAAAACTATATAGACAGGAGAAAGATCAGTGGTTGTCAGGGGTTCACAGAGAGGGAAGAGGGATGAAGAGGTGGGACTCAGGGCTTTTTTTAGGGCAGTGAAGCTGTTCTGTATGGTATTGTAATGAAGGACACATGGCATTGTGCATTTATTAAACCCCAGAGAACTCTACACCACAAAATGTGACCCCAGTGTCAATTACGGACTTTAAATAATAATAACACATCAATCTTAGTTCTTCGATTATAACAAATGCACCTCAGCAAATTACAATGTCAATACCAGAAACGGTGCATAGTGGGAAGCAAATACATGTGAACTCAGTACTTTATGTGCAGTTTTTCTGTACACCTGAAACTGCTCTCAAAAAGAAAGTTTATTTATTTTTTTCTTTTTTAAAAAAGAGGTTATCCCTACCTGGGGTTGGAAATGTGAAAGAAGAGTTGCACATCAAATCACTCTACCTAGATCAGACCAGCCTGACCAGGGCAGATCCAAATGTATCGAAACCACTAATCTGGCTGGTTGTCTTTCCCAGAACTATCTTTGTGACTAGATTGACAGGGAGTTTCATCATCCCTACTACAGAAGTCCTTGTGTGGCGCTGTGGGCTAATGCGCCAGACGGCAAAGCCATTTGAACTGCAAGGTCAGTGGTTCAAACTCACCAGCTGCTCCTTGGAAACCCTATACAGGGTCACTATGAGTCGGAAACGACTTGACAGCACTTAACAACAACACTAGACTGACTAGGCACACACTGCATTCACCATCCAGGATATACAAGGGGGCGTCAAAGCATGGAATGAACTTTTCAGTGCTCCATCAATTTCTAATTTGCCTAATTAATTCACCAGCTGATTCCACAATGAAAAAAACGAATTTAAACCTTCAAAACAATGCTTTAAGAACAAAATAAAACACCCCCTACTGCTGTCCAGTCAATTCCGAATCATGAGAGGTACACACTGACCTGAAACACTGGCCCTTTGCTGAACCTCCCTTCTCTGATTGGTTGGGGACTCACAGGAAGCCCAGGACTTGGTGGCACAACTTCACTGTCTCTAGCATTACAAGGGTCCCAGGAGCCACCTTAGGGAAAGAGACAGAGACCAGCCAGTCTCACTATAACACCTGCCAATATTTAATCTGCTTGATGAGCTTCCTGGTGGCACTGTAGATAAAGGTCAGTGTTTTGAACACACCTACTGCTCTGAGGGATAAAGATGAGGCTCTCTGTTCCCCGAAACATTCTCAGCTTCGGAAACCTATGGAACAGGTACTCTGTCCTACAGAGTCACTGTGGGTGGACATCCACTGGACAGCAGTGAAGATTTTTTGTTTGGGTGAGCTTGCTAGGTGACTTCTAAATCAGTGCAGGGAAATAAATGAGCAGGGTACAAGGGGAACACCTTGTGAGGTAGCTCAGAAAAGAAACAGTGGTCCTCTGTCTCCCTGGTCCATAAATACATACCCTTGGTTATTTCTGCTCCATTTACCACGCTAGAGGTGAACCATGAGTCCACAGAAAGATGAGGTTCGGAGTCTCACAGCCTTCCATTCTAGTTCTAGCCTGTAGACTGGGCAACAGAGACATCTGGTGGCAGATTTATGGCTCCTGCAAGAAAACCTGTTCCTTCCCCTCCTCCCAGCACTGGGCTGAGACAAATGGCTTCTCTCAGACTCCATCCATGAACATAAAATTCCATTTCCTGAGTCCTTCTTGTGGCGAAAGGCCCCTTCCCAAGTCATCACGAATCTACTAGAGGAAGCTAAAAGGCTAGGGGCTTTAGGTTTTCAAAAATAAAAACAGGAAAAGGAGTGGCAGTCAATGAACCTTAAAAACAAAACAAAAACAACCAGTTGTCACCGACTTCACTCAGTTCATGGGATAGAATGAACTGTGCTCCACAGAGTTTTCCCAGGCTGATTTTTCAGAAGTAGATTACCAGGCCTTTCCTTTGAGGTGCCTCCTTCGAACCTTCAACCTTTCATTTAGCAGCTGAGCACATTAACTAGTCTCATCATCCAGGGACTTAGAGGATACTAAAAGATTCTGGAATACATATAATTTAGCTTCTACCCCCTCACCCCACCCCCACTTTTCAAGCTTGATTAAGTCACAGACTACTGTCCTATCATATGCTCCTTCTGCCTGTCGGATGGGCTCTAATCTTCCAGGTGGTGGTGGTGTGCCGTGGAGTCAGTTCTGACTCATAACGACCCAGCACAGCGTTTCCGAGGTTGTAAATCTTTACAGGAGCAGAAAGCCTCATCTTTCTGTAAATGGACCAGACTCCTAGGATGACCCAGGGCCAACCTGTGCAAGGTGCCTTCAGGTAAGGAAGGCTGTTAGTGGCACTGTGGGTTAATGCACTGGACTGTAAAGTCAGTTTGAACCACAAGGTGGGCAGTTCAAATTCACCAGCCACTCCTAGGAAACCTTATACAAGGTCGCTATGAGTTGCAACCGACTCGACGGCACTTCACAACCACCACCACCACCACCACCACCACGAGCTAATAAATTCAGCCCAACGTCTGCGGTCCCCATAGAGATGCTTCAGTCTGCTGCTCTTTTCTAAATTAGCCTCAAAATGCAGGCTGCTCTGTAGGTTTCCCTGGAACTCTGTTTTGCTAGAAAACCCGTGCATCTCATGAATTACAAAAGGTGGGTACTTAGCTGCAACAACCATTCAGGGGTTGCCCACCACTGGTTTTCTCCTTAGGGGATTTCCTGTCCAGTGACCCCCCTCCTCACTCAACTCTGAAAGGCCTGAGTGAAAGTCAACATAAAAACTGTGAACTGCTCTAGAGCCGAGCCGGCGCACATATAAACAACTGTACTATTTACACAGAGATGGCCTGCTTACATCAAATATCCTCCTGGCCACCGTACCAAGGACGTGCTGGTGAGTGGCCCCTTGTTGGCAGTGGCCTTCTGCCTATTTGCAAAAGATAATTCATGTTAAAACTCAGTAGCAGCAGCAGGAACAACAAAAAGTAGTTTGTGTCATGGTCAGATTTTCACGGGCCTCTGGGCAGACCTGCAGTGGGCCTTCAGTAATGTTCAAGTGGCCAGACAAAGGCAGAGTGAGATCAAGAGAAGGACTGCAAGAAGTGGGGGAAAGGCAAAAGAAAGAATCCCAAAGCAGGGATCACTAAGCTGCCATGTCAGTCAGAGGAAGGGCAGAAAACATTGCAACTTCCACAGAGCAATCTTCCAAAGACACAGGCACTTGAGAGAGGGCCAATCTTCTGAGAGACTTCGAGCTGAGAGAACTACTGAAGATGCCATGGACTACCCGGAGAACCAACCAGTCAGCCTTTGAAGAAATATAGCCAGAATGCATCTTAGAAACAAGGATAGCCAGATGCCGTCTCGTGTACTATGGACACATGATCAGGAGGGACCAGCCCATGGAGCAGGGCACCATGTTTGAAAGCAGAGAGTCATGGGAAAAGAGTGAGTCCCCTTCGATGAGATGGGGTGACACAGTGGCTCCACCACAGCAATGATGGTGAGGATGGCAAAAGATGGGACAACATTTCATTCTGTTATACTTGCGTTCTCTATGAGTCAGAGCTAACTCGATGACAGCAAACAAAACAACTGCCAAACGAGTGAATCGTTTCCTTTGCCTGGTAAAACCTATAACAAAAGGAAAACAGTAG